AAAAATCTCCACACTACCGACTATTGATATCTGCCGTAAGATGGGCGGCAGAGTTAACGATAGCGGTGTCTTTTGAAGATCTTTTTTCGTACCTCTTTAGAAAAAAAAAAGACACACACACACACACACACATACATACATACATACATACAAACATACATACATACATACATACAGACCTAGTGACAACATCGCGGGGGTAGTCAGGGAAGCTTCCTGTGACCTTCAAACGTCGAGATCTGATGAAAACTCGATTTTTGCAAAACGGGGTGAAAACAATAACTTCCCGATTTTTGAAAATCTGAGATTTTTAGCGGGAAGTTAAAAAAATAATTTAATTTTACGGTCAACTTTTCTGGGACGTAACATACCTAATTCGGTATCTTTCAAACGTATTTTATTCATTTCTTATATGATCCCGAAGTTGTTTATCATCGGATTTCAGTCACAGTAATAGGCACACAGTAATTGGGTCATTCGCAGTAATTGGTACGCAGTAATAGAGACAAGCTCCTTTTATACCCACAGTAATACATGTATATGACTTTTTTTTGAAATGCTTATTATTCAAACAAAATATTAGTTTATCGCACGCTTGATTTTTTTTGAGTGAGTAATGAGTCAAACTTTGGTTTAACAAAAAAATTATTGTTATTTTTGAAAAATTCAATGAAAATGTCTCTGAAGTAAAACCTTCAGAATAAACCGCAATAATACCTACACTTACCCTATGTTTAAAGAGGAAGATCCTGATGTTAGACGGTCAGATAGACTGGCAACAAAATGTAACAGTGCAAATCTTAAATTGCCTAATTATAATACCTCTTGCTACGAACATTTTTTTGTGGTATCAGCTATACGACTTTGGGATGAGCTATCACAGGATATCATAAATTCTTTGAGTTTAGACACATTCAAAAGAAGTGCATTTGAATATCGTATGTCGCGAGAGATGGGAGACAAAAAATAGGCTGATTGTACTATTAGATCAGACTATACTATAAAATTTTCAGTATTGGTTAGTACTACTGTATTATTGCATAAATCTACTATTTTATCATTAATATTATTATTACATCATTAAAATGTTTTGTCAGATTGTTCTAAATTTTTTCATTATTTAAGATAAAATGTAAAATAAATTTAATAATCATGAATTATATAATTATAGTCACTACCTATATTACTCTACAAATCAATTCTTATAAACTTACGTGAATATACTCTTCTCATGTATTTTATTTTTGCCATTTGGCTTATGAGGCCTTGGCATATATATGTAGAAATAAATAAATAAATAAATAAATTACTTAACACCAGGTTTCATGCACGTGATTGTAAAGAAGAATACTCAAAGTTTCTGTTGAAACAATAACATCCGGTTATAATTTGTATTAAATAAAAAAAACGT